ATTTTCGTTCTCAGTGACCTAGAATTAGTAAAGTTTGACTACATTTATTTCAGAAGGATTTTGGCTGTAGAGCAGTGTAATTGGTCATCCTTTTTCATGTTAATTTAGTGCACTGAAGGCAACCATTTTTATTTAGAATAAAAAAATACGAAATATACAAATTACTATATGTGCCTCAAACTGACTGATCTTATTATTAGAAGTGATTTTTAACCCAAATAAAATCCGCAGCTAATCCACAAAAAAACTCAACCCACAACGAAATGTTTTTCTCAACAAAAACGAAACATCGACCCTCTATCACTGAAAGCCAGAATTAAAAGTTACACTTATCTTATTTAAATAAATAATTGTAAAGGCATTATTATCGACAGATATTTAATCCATTTTAGACAAGAGATTATCCGTTAACATAATGAGTATCCTGTTGAGGATAAGGGCTTGCCTACATGGGGGGGAAATTGACCAGAATAGTTATAGTGGAATAGCAATTTCACTATAGCTATTCATCAGTAGCTGCTCATGTGAATATTCTGTTCCAGAAAAAAAGTGACTTTATTTCAGAATGATTACGTGATTATATGGAATGCCACTTGTCCATTGCAGGTTTGGGACAGTCACACTGCTGAAATGGGTGCCTCGTCAACATTTTTTCTCATGTGCTCCCTGAGAGAATTTCATTGCTTCTATTGTAATCATAAACCTTTCCACATTACTTTTAGGTAGAGGATGAAACGGTTTTACATAACATTCCTTATATGGGAGATGAAGTGCTTGACCAGGATGGAACCTTTATTGAAGAACTGATCAAGAACTATGATGGAAAAGTACATGGAGACAGAGGTGAGTCCAACCCACCATGTATATCAGTCATTTCTTCCTACCTAAACATGATTAACAGCTGCTTCTGTAGCAGTCAGCTTTATTATTATATAGTTTTATTTATAAGTTAAATATCAAAACTGAAGTATGATTCCTGAGGACTTACTATTTACTAATACTAATTACTGTTTAGTATTCTCCATCATCCCCCTATGCCATGTTGAATAGTGAGTATAACAGTCTTACTTAGCTTTTGTACATGGATTAATATTTATGCAGTTGTTTGAAAATATAAACTAAATCCTCACACCAGCCCTGAGAGGTGAAATAGCGAGGTTAACTTTGTTGCCCAGAACATACAGTTAATCATTGTAATAGCTGGGTTTGAGATTAGTAAGTGGTGAAACATTTCAAGGAGAATCCAAACATACTCCTGTCCCTTTTGACAAGACTTCTGAATTGTAGGGCAAAATGGCACAGCCAGATTGAGCCAAGAGATGGGGAGTTACACTCTTTGGCATTTCACTTGCCTTTACTGTGTATGATTGAATTCCTCTGGCATGCTTCCTAGGTAGGTGGTGTGGATGACTGGGGAGAGGATAGCAGTGAACTACCAACAACCTCTCTCCTCATTGCCAGTACGGCATAAAGTGACCAGTACCCCAGCCAGCTCAGTCCCCTTTATCTTATAGGAAGTGAGATATTACTAGAGCTTTATTTTTCTATTCCTGTTTTCGGGTAGAAGGATTTATATTCCCTCTCTTGGCTGGCATACAGGGATTTGGGAAAAATCCCTCAAAATTAACAGATAAGAAATTCTTGATTCTCATTCATCCTCCTACTCAGCCCCTCCTGTCTTGTACTGAATTTACGGATTGTAATGTGCTGTGAGCGCAGGATCTGATAACTCAGGGGTGGGCAAACTACGGCCCGGATTCAGCCCGCGGGATTACCACCCCCGTAGCATCGCGGACTCCACGCTGCTCCTGGAAGCGGCCAGCACCACTTCCCTGAAGCCCCGCGGGGGAGGGGCAGAGGGCTCTGTGCGCTGCCCTTGCCTGAAGGCACCGCCCCCTCAACCTCTATTGGCTTGGAATGGGTAACTGCGGCCAATGGGAGCTTTGGGAGAGGTACCTGGAGGCGAGGGCAGCGTGTGGAGCCCTCTGCCCCTCCTCCCCCAGGGGCTGCAGGGATGTGGTGCCGGCTGCTTCCAGGAGCAGCGCGGGGCCAGGGCAGGCAGGGAGTCTGTCTTAGCCCCGTTGCACGCTGCTGCCACCCTGGAACTGCTCCAGGTAAGTGGCGCCAGGTCGGAGCCCACACCCCGAATCCCAACCCCCACCTCACCCCTCCTGTACCCCAACCTCCTGCCCTGAGCCCCCTCCTGCGCCCTTGCCCCGAGCGCCGTCGTACACCCTGCACCCCTCCTGCGCCCTTGCCCTGAGCCCCCCTCGTACACCCTGCACCCCTCCTGCGCCCTTTCCCAGAGCCCCTTCCTGCACACCACACCCCCTCCTATACCCCACCCCTCTGACCGAGCCCTACATTCATGGCCCTACATGCAATTTCCCCACCCAGATGTGGCCCTTGGGCCAAAAAGTTTGCCCACCCCTGTGATGACTAAACATATAGCCATAGTTGTTCATTTAAAAAAAACCTGAAATATGGGGTAGAAATAAACATTTTTTTTTTTTGGCTTTACTTCCAATCTTGCTGAATTTCAGAATGCGGATTTATCAATGATGAGATATTTGTGGAGCTGGTAAATGCACTTGGTCAGTATAGTGATGATGAAGATGATGATGATGGAGATGACAATCCTGATGAGCAAGATGAAAAACAGAAAGACCGAGAAGGCAACAGAATGGGTATGTCAATCCAGTAGATTTTAAAAACCTTTATTATTGTAGCAGTTTTTCCTGTATTTATTTCCTCAATAAATGGAAGATGTTCAGATTTATATTTTTGTATTTATGCTCAGTGAAGTTAACAACGTTATTTCTTCTAGTGATTGCACACGTCCATTCCACTTCAGGTGTGTGCATGTCTAGTGCACTGTTGAAAACTTTTCCCTCAGTGCTACGCACTGAGGCAGCATATGTGCATTCTGCTTCCTTGTGCCACCTTGCAGTGGTATAAAAGGCAGAGTTGCCCCTGATTCCACTCAGTTCCTTTACTGTTCATGATGGTTGTTGGAGTGTTATCTTGCTGTCGCAGGCTTTTCTTAAATTTATCTATTTTGTATATAGTTGGTGCTGGTTTTAACCATAGTTCTAGTGTTAGGTTCTTCTAGTCATAAGTAGGGCCGAACCAATTTCACGGCTGTAAAAAACATGTCACGGACCGTGAAATCAGCCCTCCCCTGTGAAATCTGATCTCCCGTGCTGCTGGGAGCCTGGGGCTCCTAGCTGCTAGTCCAGCTACATGGGGGAGGGACAGGATTTGTCCTTCCCCTGCATGGCTGCTCTTTGTGGTGAGATCAGATCTACCTCTAGAGGCAGCACAGAAATGAGGGTAGTACACCCTCACTTCTGCGCTGAAGCAACCCGGCTTCTGTCCCGTGGGGCCTTTCTCTCCTCTCCTCCACCCCACCTGCAGCAGTTCCTCAGCTCTGCAGGGACATGCAGGCCGCTTCGGGGGGGAGTTGTGCAGAGCCTGGTAGGGAGCCTGCCAGTCTTCTCTTCTTCCCCCCCCCCCTCCTCTTCTGCACTACTACCCAGTTTGTGTAGATAGCCTGGGACTTCTAAGCAAGCATTTTGGTGTGTTTGTCAAAGACTGTTTCTCCTACTCCTTTACCACCAGGCTATCCCACTATCTAAGTGCTTGGTCTTGCATCACTACAGATCAGTGTGTCTTAAGCATGGTGGAATTGGGATACAAGCTTCAGTTTATTTTTGTCTTCCCATCGCACCACTTTCCCAATCTGTTTTTAGGGACCACTCTCACAAAGAACTTCTCCTTTAGAAGATGCAATCTCTCCTCTAGTTGGAAGCCATAGAGGAAGTGTCTCAGCAATTCAGAGGAAAGGGGTTTTATTCCCACTGTTTCCTGATCCCAAAAGGAGGTCTCAGACCATATTAGTCTTGTGACAACTGAACAGATATCTGAAGAAAATAGTTTTGCATTGTCATGCTGGCTTCCATTATCTGCTCCCTGGAGACTTGCATGCTGGCTTCGACTTAAAAAATGCAAATTTCCAAGTGGCAGTACATCAAAGCCAAAGGACGTTCCTCAGATTCCTGGTCAACAAATCTCGCTACCAGTTTGCAGTACTATCATTTGGTCTGTCTGCAGCTCCACATATTTTCAGAAAGTTCCTGCCAGTCGTGGCAGTGTTCCTGAGGAAATCAGGAGTTCAGGTGTTTTCCTACTTGGATGACTGGTTGGTGAGAGGCTGGTCCAAAGTTGTGGTGCTGTCCACTGTGTCTCCTACAATCCACCTTCAACACTCTAGGGTTGCTTAGAAACACGGAAAAGTCAATCCTGTCACCTATACAAAAGATGAAGTTTATAGGAGCTGTCTTGGACTCTCTGGAAGCCAAGGTCTTTCTTCCACAGATGAGATTCCAGACTCTGCTGTCCATTGCTTTAAATTTGAGTGCCCACTCTATGACAACGATACAAAATTGCCTCAGGCTTCTGGGGCATATGGCTTCATGCACTTATGTGGTTCATCTCAAAAGCTGCAAGGGTGGTTATCGGTGCACTCTCCAGTTTGTTATCCATTAGACATAGTAGTTTGAGTACCCACACAAGTCTTGACCTCTAAACTAGTGGAAAAACCATTCGTGTATGTATGGAGTGCCATTTGTTCCTCCACAGCTGGCTTTGACCCTAGTTATGTATGCTTCTGCCCTTGGTTGGGGTTTCACCTCAGGTCCCTGGAGATGCAATATCAGTGAATTAAGGGCCATTCAGCTAACTTGTAAAGCCTTCCTTCCCCATATCAAGGAAAGAAATCTGCTCATACTTACAGACAACATAGTGGTCATGTTCTGTGTGAACAGGCAAGGACAAGCCCAGTTGTCTGCTATGCCAAGAGGCAGTGAGGATTTGGGATTTCTGTATCACCATCTCAGTCCACTTCAAAGCCTCTCACTTTCCTGGTGTCCAGGTTAAACTGGCAGACTGATTAAGCAGATCTTTCACCAGTCACCACAAGTGGTCTTTCTGCCCAGACATTGCCAGATTCATTTTCCAACGATGTGGGACTCCCCAAATAGACCTGCTTGAAACAAACGTCAACAGGAAGTGCCATCACACAGGTCACAGCCCAGAGTCCCTCAAAAGATGCTTTCCTGTTGCCCTGGATGGTCACGCTCCTGTAGGGTCACGCTCCTGTATGCATCTCCTCCAGTTCCACTCCTGCCCAGAGTGTTGTTGAAAATCACTCAGGACCGTGCTTGAGTCATACTTCTAACTCCAGTATGGCCTTGGAAACATTGGTTTCCTATTCTGCTGATCCTCTCAGACAGCTCTGTTGACACTTCCCTCAGGACCATGGTCGTCATCTCCACCCCAACCTGCAGGCCTTCATCTCACAGCCTGGATGCCCCATGGCTAATGCCTCAAGGGGAGGCTTGCTCAAAGGGAGTTCAAGATGTACTTTTAAATAGTAGAAAACTATATACCTGATATACTTCATTGGGAAATTGGAAGACATTTTCCATCTCGTCCCAAGAAAAAGGGGTTTCTCCAGTCTGAGCTCCCATACATCGTGTTCCGGACAATCTGTTAAACCTGAAACAACATGGTCTGGCAACTAATTCCATCCCCCGCAAGTCCCATATTAATCAGATTTTTGAAAGGTCTCTCTGTACTATTTATATCCCCAGGTAGAAGATCCTGTTCCTCTGTGGGACTTAAGCCTGGTGTTGACAAAACTAATGGTCCTGCCTTTAAACCTTTAGCTACTTGATTGTTGCTACATCTCTTGATCAAGGTAGCCTTTTTGTTGGTAATCATTTCAACCAGAAGAGCAGGCAGATTACATGCTCTACTGTATGAACCTCTGAATACAGTCTTCTACAAGTCTAAAGTTTACCTATGTCTTCATTCAACATTTCTCACAAAAGTAGTGTCTGACTACCACGTCAATTAGGCAGTATATCTACCCTCTTTCTTCCCAAAGCCCCATGCTCAAGGACGAGGAGAGACTCCACACTACAGGTGTTAGATCATTGGTGGTGTTCTTGGACAGGACTAAGCAGTTTAGATTGTCTTCGTAATTATTTGCAGCAATTGCAGACATAATGAAGTGGCTTCCGCTCTGTTATCAAAGAGTCTCATCCTGGATATCCCCCTATAAATGCTTATGCTACGAATTGGACAGTGTAGCTCCACCAATCAGAGTATTAATACATTCAACAAAATCACATACAGCCTTTGCAACCGTTTTAGCTCGAGTGACTATCCTAGAAATTTGTAAAGCCTCAACGTGGTCTTCAGTCCTTACTTTTGTCTCACACTAGGCCATCTCTCAGCAATCTAGAGATGATGCCAGATTTGCACATGTGGTCCTTTAGGCGTTGTTCAGGTAGACTCCGATCCTACTCTGGCTTGACCTGCTTGAGTGTCACCTGAAGTGGAATGGGCATGTGCAGTCACTTGAAGAAATGGTTACTGATCTGTTCCATAACTGTTGTTTGAGACATGATGTACATATCATTCCATGACCCGTCCTCCTTCCCCTCTGTATTGGATTCTGTCCAGTAAGAATGAAATGAGGGAGGTCAGCAGTGGTTCTGCCCTTTAAACCATCGCGCAGCAGCAGGCACATGCACCATCTCAATGGGCATCACTGACGGAAAAATCTCCAACAGCGTACTGGGCGCTCACACGCCTGAAGTGGAATGGACATGTGCAGCACATCTTGAAGAACAAGAGTTATGGAACAGGTTAGAAATAGTTTCTTTCCTCAGCATTTCCCTATACCGGTCAGTCCCAGATTAGCATAGAGTGTGTTGCAAAATGTGGTGTTGCTAATCATAGACCACTGCCAACACAGGGAGATGGTCAACTCCTGCACTGTCGTTGAAGGATACAGTGGTGCAGTATTTTACTGAGGAAGACAGCACCATTCATCAAGCAGATACGTGAATGACTGCTGATGGCAAAATAACATAACTTATCATTTGTCCAGAAGAACCTGTTGGTAGGAAAAATCATTTTAAACTCCTTAATCTAACTTCTTTGTAATTATAAACCAAAAGCGTCAGATTTTTGAAAAACTAATTCTTTCTTTGCTTTGTAATTTAGGTTCTTGGTCAGCTTTTTTCATCCTTAAATATTGGTATAAACAGTAAATTTACAAGTAGATTAACATTTATAAAGTTACTGTGTGAAATACCAAATGAGCACAATATTATTCAGAAAATATTTCCTTTTAGTCTTCATATTTCTTTGTCTGCTTCTCTGTGCAGACAAAGAGAGCCATCCACCTCGGAAGTTTCCTTCTGACAAGATATTTGAAGCCATTTCCTCGATGTTTCCGGACAAGGGTACAGCAGAGGAATTGAAGGAGAAGTAAGATTTGATTTCTTAAGAGGTGTTGGTACACTGCATAATATGGTACTTGGATTTCTGTACTGTCCAGAAAAGAGGTACAGTGGAACCCAATTTATCCGATTTTATTGGGACCAGAGCCAGATAGGATAAACAAAAATTTGTATAATCCAGAGAATGGGTGGAGCTTGGCTCAGATAATACGGAGAGGTGGATAATGGACTCTCAGATAAATTGGGTTCAACTGTATTAGTTTGTTGATGTTTTGAGTAGGATCTGACCTCTCTAGCCCCAAGATTGGGAAGTTATGAATAAACTGACTACAGCTGTACTGTTTATGTAGGTGATACTTGAAGGGTGGCTGTTTCAGACATAAGGGAAGGCAGTGTGGCCTAGTGGATAGAGCACTGGACTGGGACTCAGGAGACCTGGATTTTTTCCTGCCTTTGTCCCGGGCTACTGGGTGACCTTGGGTGAGAGCTGTCAAATTCGGATATGGGTACTGACCTTGTTTGTAAAGCATTTTGTGATCTACAAATGAAAAGTGCTATATAGAAGAGGTGGTGGTATTATTTATTATTGTTAGCCTTCGCTATAAGCAGCCAGAAATCTCTCTTGTATTGGTATATATTGTCCTCTTGGTATGGTGAAGGAAAGAGGAAATGCTTTGTTGCAGTGATCTTTTGGGGAGGAGGAGGGCGAGGGGGCTGGTGGAGGAAAGCATTTGGGAAAAAAACATTTTTGAAAAGTAAATGCATCCCTTCCCTGTGATTCTCATTAATCCTGAGGCAGGGCGATGGGGGATAAGTACAGAGTTACTTAGTCATGCCTTTGAATGTAGCCTTTATTGATGTACTTTACGTAATATTTGATTTAAGTAATTGGGCTTTTGACTTAAGCTATAGTATCACAGACCAAAGATAACGTAACTTCAAGTTTTTGCCAAGATAAATATTGTAGAACAACTTTTTTTAGTAGGCAGTTTATTGTAAGTGTCTAATGCCAGATTTTTCTTAGTTAAACCAGTAAGTCCAGAATAAATGCATTAAAATCAGGAGTTACTTTGGATGTACAGTGGTGTTACAGCAAAACTTGACCCTTTCTGAATAGAATAAATAATGCCTTTTGTTTACTTTTCTTTTTGAAGATACAAAGAACTCACAGAGCAGCAGCTGCCAGGAGCTCTTCCTCCTGAGTGCACACCAAACATAGATGGACCAAATGCAAAATCTGTTCAGAGGGAGCAGAGTCTGCACTCCTTTCATACGCTCTTCTGTAGGCGCTGTTTTAAATATGACTGCTTCTTACATCGTAAGTGCAATAGCCTTTTTGTAAATCTACATTTCATTTTATGAGACCTCAAGAAACTCTAAAGTAGCCACAGTGTACAATACAGAATAAGAAAAGAGAACAATAGATGTGCTAAAATCTGCTAACAATAGACACGCTAACTTCCTTGTGGTGTGAAAATTGTAGTTTCTGATATTTGAAATATTAGCTATATTATTTGGTGTAGTTTGATTTCATATTTGCATTTTGCAAGTTGATAGAGTGCCTGGCCTGTAGTGGTGTTCCCCTTTTACTTTAAATAAACAAATAAATAAATAAATAAAAATTGTTTCCCAATACTATTCCAAAATTATCCTACTTATCTCTTTTTATCATAGGGAGATTGAAAACTGACCAGATGTGTGCTAGAAGGATTTGTTCTTTCCCTGTTGAGATTTTTTCGGTCCTCAGCAGGGGAAATGAATATCCGTGAACTGCTTTATTCTTTTATTCTCTTCTGAGAACACACCAGAGGTTACTCCTAGTCCTCTTAGTCTTATGGAATGGAATTATTTTCAGAAAGGATGCCCTATTCAGTTGTAATTCCTATTGCCATACCTTTTGAAGAAATCTGTTAACAAAGTGTTGAGAGACAGTCAGTTTCCATTTCCAGGTGGGAACAATAAAGGACTTCCCTGAGTACCATCAGAGGAATGGTTCTTTTATTTCCTCATCCTGAAGCCAAGGGCCCAGGATGTGTGAAGCAACTAGAGAATGAGTGCAAAGGATTTTGGACTGTCTGAATTTGACACCGAGGGGAGTACAATATACAATTACTTGTTAGTGAACTCAAGTAAAGAGACTCGTTAACCAGTAGCTTCCAAATGAGAAATTGTCTTGAAGTGATGACCCATATGAGGGTGCTGAAATCATAAAGGATTAGGCCAATAACTTCCAGTCTCAATTTTTTTTCCTGAGCTGGGGAGTTAGAGAGAAAATTTCATTTCTATAAAATAAGATTTGCCTGACCTGATACCAAGAACATAATAGACGGAGGCAGGAAATTCAGCAGATCCAGTGTCTCTTTCTGAGCCCATTATAGGCACTGAAAACATTAGCTCTGGACCTGCATGTCAAAGAACTGATAGACCAGAAATAAGAATTTCCAAACAGGAAGTCTGTGCTGAACAGGTTCATGAAAATACGATATCCATTATGCAGAGAAGAGACACAGGTCTTCACTAAGAAGCCCCCAAGTACATGTTGCCATTCAAGGATGGCTACTTCCTGGATGGAACGATAGACATTTGAGATGTTAAGGTACTCTGGATACCCATCTTCAAGGTAGAATAATCTAGCACAGTGCTTAGATGGCTGCAGAACCTTGTAAAACCCCTAAGGCTGAAGATGAACATTCAGAGCTATCGTGCTCTACGTTCTTTTAGATGCAGCAATGCAATTTGTGTGTGATGCTACTTATATCTATAACAAAGGCAAAATCCATTGTAGTAAGGAAGCTGTGATCTGCCTGTATGGCCTAGCCCAGGGGTCAGCAACCTTTCAGAAGTGGTGTGCCGAGTCTTCATTTATTCACTCTAATTTAAGGTTTCGCATGCCAGTAATACATTTTAACGTTTTTTAGAAGGTCTCTCTCTCTGTCTATATTATATAACTAAACTATTGTCGTATGTAAAGTAAACAAGGTTTTCAAAATGTTTAAGAAGCTTCATTTAAAATTAAATTAAAATGCTGATCTTACGCTGCCGGCCCGGGGTTCCGTTCACCTAGGCCGGCAGCAGGCTGAGTGGGACCGACGGCAGTGACCCTAGCTGGCAAGGGGCCGGCAGCCAGAACCCGGGGCCGGCAGCATGCTGAGCGGGGCTGGCAGCCGGGACCCCAGACTGGCAGTGGGCTGAGCGGCTCAGCCCACTGCCGTCTGGGGTCCCGGCCCTGCCCACATAGAATGGGTACCTACCTTCTCCCTGGTTTGAGCCCATTCTCTCTCTCTCTCTCTGCACTGAGCTGAGGGTGGGAGTGCACTGAGCACAGGGTTGGGGGTGTAGGGTCTGGCCAGGAGCTAGAATGAGGGAGGGGGATCAGGGTTGGGGCAGAAGGTTTGGGTGTGGAGTGCTTACCTGTGCAGCTCCCATTTGGTGTGAGAGGTGTGGGTGGGAATGGGGGGAGGAAGAGGGCGGTGCAGGAGCTCCCATTTGGTGCTCAGGGTGGGGGTGGGGATGTGGGGGTGCAGGAGTCAGGGCAGAGGGCTGGGGCCATGTGAGGTGTGTGCAGGAGTTAGGGTGTGGGGGGGGGCTGGGGATGTGTGGGGGTGCTGGAGTCAGGGCTGGGGTCGTGGGGGGTGCTGGAGTCAGGGCAGGAGGCTGGAGGTGTATGTGAGGGGGGTGCAGGGGTCAGGGAAGGGGGATGTGGGGGGTGCAGGGGTCAGAGCAGAGGACTGGATGTGTGTGAGGGGGGGTGCAAGGATCAGGCCAGGGGCTTAGGGGTGTGTGGGGGGTAGGGCAGGGAGCGAGGTGGGAGTTGGGACTCCTGGGCTCTGGGAAGGGGCTGGTGTCTGACGCTTGTGGGAGGAGTGCTGGGAGCGAGGACTCTGGATTCCTAGGTTTCCAGCTGGGCTCTAGTTGTTCGAGGGGATGGAGGGCAGACGGGCCTCACGGGCGCTGCAACTCCTGTGGGGCCGGGTCCCTCTTCCTGCCCTTGCCGGCGGGGCCGCTTCCGGGACCACTCAGACTCCGCGGACACCAGGTAGCAGTATGGACACGCTAACCCGGAAACGCAACCTCCCACCGGAAGTGACAAAGGTCAGGAAAGCATGTGCAAATGCTGGCGGGAGGGGCAGAGAAGAGCGGGCCGGGCCAGGCAGGATTTTTAATAGCACGCTGCTGCCTGCTGGGGTCCCAGCCGCCGGCTCCGCTCAGTCTGCTGCTGGCCTGGGTTTGGCAGCGGGCTGAGCAGGGCCGGCGGCCGGGACCCTGGCAGGTAGCAGCGTGCCATTAAAAATCGGCTGTGTGATAAAAAATATGGCACGTGTGCCATAGGTTGCCGACCCTTGGCCAAGCCTTTAAAGGGCCACTTCTGTTTGGCAAAGAACTCTAGATACATGAAATCTGGGTTCCCCCCACATCAAGCCTCAGAAATAGCAGTATTCCTTTCAGTCTAAACTTGACTAGATGCTGACACCCCAGAGGAGGAGAGCTCAATGTATCACACTCACTGTAAAGACCGTTCCTTTTGTCTCGACGGAGGTTGGAACAGCATTCCTCTTTGTTTGCCTTCAAGCAGATTGGCATGAAGATATGCTGACCCATGCAGTGTCAGATACCATAGTTGGTAGCCTTTGCCACTTCCTCAGTAGATCAGGCAACATGAGTTTGGGTCTCCATTGTCTTTAAATGAGGCTATTCAATAGACATCAGTTCTGAACTGGGGAGCCATGGATCAGTATTCACATCGCACTCCCCATCAGTGCCCGGCCTGGGCCAGAGAAGCTAATGATCCAGCCATCAGACCAAATTCAGTGATGAATTCTGGACACATGCTACCCAGGCACATTTTGCATATGCTAAGAAGAAGTAGTAGTTCTAAACCCGGATATCTTATCCGGTTCACTTATTGCTGCCTCACAAAAAGGCAGAGCACCTAAAACACTTTGGCTCACCTATTGAAAATCTAGGGCATCATCCTGGTTTTCCCAGACCAAAGGGCCCATGTAACACTCAGTATGGATCCATAAATTTCAGTTCCCAGAAAAATGCAACGTATACCCAATGTATGTTGCAAGTTTCCCTGAAGTCACTGATCCATTCAGTCAACTCAGAACAGCTTCTGTTACGTTATCTGATTTCTGTGCTTTTAAAATTTTCATCAGTCTCTTCTGTTTTTAAATTGTAAACAGTCATAAGGACATTCACCAAGGTGGTGATAGTACTTGTAGCTGCCTTGAAAGAAAAGCATATATTGAGATGATTGGCTGGCAAAATTGGGATAGAAAACTAATAGGATGCCATTCCCACCTGTGCACCTTCCCAGAGTGCTATTGTTGGATTGTTAATTGAACAAAGAGCCCCCTATTCTTATCTTAGCAGTTAGTCTGCTTCAGCCCAGAAGCTGGCAGAGTTTTCTTAGCATGGCACAGGCATGGCATATTTCAGTGTCAGATACACGTCTTCCTGTATGCTCTTAGTCATTGGCTGTAGAATTGCATGTACTGGGATCCATGGCAGTGAAAATGTAAGTGGTGCCTTAGCCCGCTTCTGTAGGACAATGCTGCAGTCCTTTCTGCTCTCCCACTGGGAACCAAAATGTAACATTTTTTTCAAATGTTGGCTGTGGCTCTCTTAGGTGGTGGTTGATAACATTAACTTGGGGAAAAGGATGTAAACTGGGTCATTCCCATGGGAGAACTTTGAATATATCTGATCTATTGGAATGTAGTATTGTGCCCATCTTTCCAAATAACTGCTCAAAGCAAATGGGCTGCAAAGGGGGGAGGGGACGGGGGGGACATGGTTGATCAACTACCTCCATATGAGACGGGTGAGACTTCTGATACAGGCTTCCCAACTAGTCATTTTGAGTGCAGTGTGACGGCACAGTTGCCTACATAAATAGGCAGGGAGACACAAAAAGATGGCCAAAGAACAGCACATGCTGTTGATGTGGAAAAAACACCCACTAGAACTATCAGCTACTCTCCTAGCAGAGAATTGAAACAACATGAAAGACTAGCTAAGCAGACAACATATGTCTAGTGGAATGAAAAATCAGTCACAAGCTGTTCAGGGCAGTATGGGGAACAACGTATCGATCTGATTAATACTAAAGCAACAGGATGTCTTGAGTATTTCAGAAGTTCAGAGAATAAATATGGTATTCCCTATTCAGTTTTGAGGGAATAGATGTCTAAAAGTTGATTTTTACCTTGGCATATAGGTATTCCTGCTCCGGCCCATGGTGAGGAAGGTACTACAAAAGATAGCCAGGCCCACAGAACACCTTGTCCTCATAATTGAAGAGTGGCCAAAATG